TTTGCATTCTCCAGTTTTAGTAAATCAACCCCTTTGTGTCATCGACCTGGAATTAGAATGCAAAAGAGGACTCCGGACTTTTCTTTCATTTTGCAGATCTGCTTATTTATTCTGGATTAGTAGCCCATAAATCATTGAAGCAGTGGATCAGAATGACAGCAAGGTAACTAGCATTCTAAGACAGAGGTTCACATTTGAAGACTGAAAATTTAGGTTTACTCTAAGCCTACAAATTATTTTACAAACAAAAGCTCTGCTGGACATTTTATATGGAAGTGACATTAAACAACAATAAATATAGTAAAAAGGATTTTTTGCAATAGGACTCTTGCACATGCCTGAGCCCATGCAACGTAAATCTGAGTGTCTCCCCCTCAGCCCTGGCAGACCAGGTACTGCATACAGCCGCCCATAGACATGAATGTGTACTGTTGGTATATTGCAGTACTTATATGAACATGAATATGGCATACAGACGTGCAAAAAATAAAACATTTTACATTTTTGCCATATGCCCCTACGCTGTACACATGTTTACATAAGTACAGTGGTGTACAGCCATTCATGTCTATAGGCAGCTGTATGCAGCATTCGAGCAATGCATGCAGAGACAGCAAAACATTGATGTTTATGTTGCAGAGACTCAGGCACTCTTATGCAAGAATCCTCAAAGTGCAAACAGGTCCATAAATTAACTTTTCAAGTTCAAATGTTTCCAAAAATCAATTCACAATTTTTACATTTTTTTCACCCTTTGGGCCAAGTCACATTTGCAATTTAGTAGCAGAGATTTCAAGCAGTTAGTAATCTGATTTTTTTTAAGTATTGTAGCCAGCTACAATACCTCTTTACAGCTACAATGTAGGTGTAACATGATCACTAGCACCTATACTGGATAACGTGTAGCTATTGAAGCTGGTGGTTTTGTAGCTAGCCCCATAAAAAAAAAAAATCAATAACTCAGATACATTGGAATCTCTGCAACATAGACCTTTCATTAAAGTGATACTAAAGCTAAAAACCTTTTCTTTATTTTTCTTGATACTGAGAAATCTATAAAAATTTTCACCTACCTTTTAACACTTAGGTTCCTGGTCATTATATATTAAAGCCAAGCTCTGGGAAGCTACCCTTCCGCAATGCAAGGGACAAATGCTTATCAACTCTAGTCTAGGGGATGAGGAATGAGATGTAATCCTTACCTTAGGCTGGCCATACACTATACAATTTTCTGTCCAATTTCTGCCCAATTTCCTTTAGATTTACCTTCAACTATGTAGTACAAGAGCCTGCCTAATTGGATACAATTGAAAGTGTTGTTAGGTTTGACCTCATATTATATGGTTTTTGGTAAATCTAAAACAAAAATCTCAAGAAAATTGTATAATGTATGGCCAGCCTTACTCCTTGATCCAGCAGACTCCTTCCATCTGTACAACAGGTGCCCAGAAGCCTCTTCTGTAAAGCTGTCTAGGATGTGGTCACATGATGACATCATCAAGTACAAAGCAGGGCCAATAGCTCTTCATTGTACATAAGGATGATGAGGGATTGCCCATGACCTTCGCATTGCAAGGGATAAATGCTTGTTAACTCTAGTCTAGGGAATGAGAAATAAGGTGCAATACTTACCTTACTCCTTGTTCCTGCAGACTCCCTCCCTCTTCTATAAGGCTCTCCAAGCTGCAATCGCAGGATGATGTAATTAAATACAATGCAGTTCTAATAATATTTTATTGTGTGGCAAGATGGCAAGGGAGCGCCCACAACCCCAAGCGAAGGTGGCATCTGATGCAATGAAGAGTAAGGTAAGTATTATACCATATTCCTCATCTCCCAGAGTTAAGATAACCCTTTCAGGGTGGGGGGAAGCCATTGCAAGGGTAGTTTTTTTGTAATTCCTAAGGCTGAGATCCAACCACTAATTAAAGTGCACATACAGCCAAAATTTGCTTACTTGTAAAAATAGGAAAGGTTTAAAACCTCTCTCAGCTTAAATGTTTTGGGTGTCTGTATGTCATGGGGATGCAAAAGGAAATCTTTCCAAAGTGAGGGGATATTCTCTAGTACAGGTGTTCCCTTTGGAAGATTTAACAGCCAAAACATGTTTACTTGCTTTTGAGGATAGAGTAGGGAAAGGTTAAAAACCCTCTCAGTTTATTTTATGGGTGTCTGTATACCATGGAGATAGAACGGAAAATCTTTATCAAGGGAGGGGAGATCCCCTCCTAGGTGTCACCAGGATTTGTGTTCCCATTGGAGGATTTTCCTCTCCTTCTGATAACTACTGTATAATTTTATATTTCCTGTCACTTTCTCTCTTGGTGACAGCAGTCACCAGGACAAATAGAGAAGGTGGGTCTAACCAAGCAAAGACACGTACTGCAATACAAATATGGCAAGGATTCTAAACCTTCCCTACTCTATCCAAATCCTAGAAGAAGATTTGGCTATACATACACTTCAAATTGAAAATATGCTGTGGAATTCTGCAGAACTCTTTAAACAAATGTTGTGGTTTCTGGATGCCTGTTAAGCTCATCACACACAGTAACGTTTTTCTGTACCATCTCTTTTAAATCTACCCCAACCATGTTGTACATGGACTTACCAGATACAGATTGTAGATTGTCATATTCAAATATATCAAATCTAAAGCTTGTTGTGCAAAGATTGTACAGTAAAATTGAGATGTATATGGTTTCCTTAAGGAGAAGTATAGCCAGCTAAAGTTACAAAGCTGGTCCAGACTTTGAAAAGATCCCAACCAAATGGTCGGGATCCACCCAGAAACCTGGACCAGCACCTGGCTCAGTTTCTCAGTGATCCAACAACTGCCTGAACAAGCCCCTCCCTCCTCCTCCACAGACCAGAGCTCCAGTGAGCTCTGGTGGGGTAGAGCAGAGAGCCGGAGACTGACAGTCATGGCTGTCTGCTTAGAGCAGGGGAGGGGGGGGAGCTGAACGATCGTGGCATTTGATTGCTCAGTTCTCTGTGCAGAGCCAGCAGGGGCCAGATGCAGAGTCGGATCAATGCTGCACCAACTAGGTGAATATAATGGGGGTTTTTTCAAAACCCATACTTCTCTTTTGAAACAGGTCAGGCCCTTTTAATAGGGTTGTCTGGTACTACTGCTACTGTATATAACATAGTGAACTCCAGCACATTTTAATTTGTATGCTTAGTGTTACACTTACTAAAAGCCAGAATCCTACTTTAAATCCGTATCAGGATCTCAAAGGTACAGAAAACAGATGAGATGATTCCATGGTCCTGGAAAGAAACACTGGCCCTTATATAGTCCAGCTGACAAATACCTCAAACAAACTTTGGTAAGCATACTGTGCTTGCTGCAAATGAACCTCAAATTTTGTATAGTAGACAATGACAAATATACCAAGTTTTCACAAGCATTAGAATTTCCAAGAACTGCACCAATAGTTCTTTATGTCAAGGTAGCTTAATGATCCTTTTAATGTATTTATTTTTTTAGAAATAGAAACTGAAAATTAACTTAAACAAAGAATCTGGAGTATCATTGCAAAAAAACTGTCCTATAAAGCATTGTCACACAAATGTCACTCTGATGCTGAGACTTGATTAATAGCAGTGTAGCTATACAACAAAAAACATTTACTTACAGTAGAAAGCAATATTAACATGATCACCATTATTGCACTTTAACTTAGATATTCAGCTATAGAGTCCAGTGCATCAAGCCACTGGTTAATACTTATGAATTATCTGTAGTGGTATGTTATTTTACTAATGCATCTGTTAGAAGCCGTTTACATGATCATAGTATTTTCTTACCTTTCTATATACATTAATATCAGTATGGGCCACTGCCAAAGAGGCTTCCTGATAATTTTTGATATAAAAAAATGTAATTCCCTCTTAAAATTAAATTTTTAAGTTCTTTTCCCTTTGATATGCAGCAGAACTACAGCTTAGCATTTATATACACAGCTTATGGTTATACTATTGCGTGGAACGGGGCAAACTTGCTACAGGCACCTAGAGGTGCCAGCACACATACATGTAGCAGCATCTTAAACCTCCTTGTCATGGCCGATTTGCTGGGCTGTTCTGCTCCAACACCTCTAGGTAGTAGTGTTGAATGTTTTCATTGAGCCCCTTACTAATAGATTCCTACTGGCTGCCCTGCCTCTCCACCTCATCCAATCAGAGAGTGCTTTGCAATTATGAAGAAAATGCAAAGCATTCTCTGAATGGTGCCCATGCTGATTAGCCAGCCTCTTGTGTTCAGAATCCAGCAGAGAAGCCACTCGGCACATAACCCAGAAGCTACCAGAGATCACTGGAGTAGCTGTGTCTACTACAGTATTTTCCAGCTTCTTGAGGGATCCCACAGCTATCACATATGTATAGTTACATTGGTCCAAGCTGGACCAATCTAACTATGTAAAAAAGTTATACCTGGAATTCATCTTTAAACTGTTTGGATTTTGAGCTCTCATATAAATTAGAATTTTATATGGGTTACACAAGCACAACCACTGTGGGTAGCGTGAGTGGTTTGCCTACAAATCTGGCTGTGGCAAAGGCTTTAACACTGTCAATTTTGTATATGGCAATGGCTGTCAACAAGTTAATAGGTTATTTTACTTGAGTCTGCCTTTGGCAATCCAGTGTTTTCCAATTGCAAAATGTAAATTATAGCTTTGGTCTCTTGCAACAGTAGCAGTACCAGTTGCCACTACTGAAATGACAAGTCGCCATCCTTGGATCATAGGGACAGTGCAAAACAACCGTGGCAGCCTGAGGGTAGCTGCATGAAACATCTGGCACTGATTTTCACAGGAATCATCTGTGTGTATGAACATAATGTTCAATATTCAAAGATTTCCCCAAGAGCACAGTACAGTAATCTAGCTTTCTTTTGGTATTCTTTTGAAATGATCAAAACACATTAAATTAACAGCAGTTTTAACATGCACTCCACTGCAAGGTTCAGCTACTTCCATTTTCTGAGCTACTTGCTCGGCTCATTGGTGTATAGACCAGCTTCCCAGCGCAGTGCCATTTTGTTCTTGCGTCGATTTACACGGGTGGACTTCACAATCTGAAATACACAAACTGCTCAGTGAATCATAGAAGTGAGGAGTTACAGTCAGAAAATGTATAGTGTGTTTCCTTTAATACCACTCTTCCTTGAAGTTACAATACAATTTTATTACAAGGGGGTTCAGAAGGTCCTGCTCATGAGAGATTAAAGGAAAGGTCAAGTGATACGAAAGGTAACTACTGTGAGGAATGAGGTGATGGAAAAAGTAAAAGTAGTTTATTAGGTGGAGTCAAGATAGACTTTCCTGAAGACATGACTTTTCGGGGATTGCCTAAAAGCAACCTCAGTATGAGATAATTGCACAGATTGTTGTAGGGAGTTCCTGAAGGTGGGAGAGGCTCTGAAGAGTCCTTGGAGCAAGCAGAGGAGGAGGTGAAAGAGCAGGAGGTCTTATGAGGAGTGAAGAGGATGGTTTTCAAGTGAGTTTGGTGATGTAGGTCAGGCAGAGTTGGGGATGGCTTTGTATAGTGTTGATAGTATTTTGAATTGTATTTGTTGGGTAAGCAGTAGCCAGTGGAGGGTTTGGCAGAAAGAGGTGGCAAACACTGAATGAGTGGTAAGGTGGATGAATCAAACTAGTTACCAGTGTTAAAACATCAGTGATGTGATTAGTAGCATTGAGTAAAATTGGCCCAGGTTTGATGGGCAGTTTGTCTTATCCTGATTGAAATTTGTGAACTTAAAGATGCTTGGAACAATAGCAATACATAGGGCAGCACAGTGGCACATCATAGCAGCACTAGGGTTATGGGTTTGCATCCCAACCGTTACCCTACCTGTATGGAGTTTGCATGTTCTCCCTGTGCCTGCTCAGGTTTCCACCTACACTCTAATGAGTAGTAGGTTATTTGGCTTCTGTTTAAATTTGCGCTAGTAAGTATGAATGCGAGCTAGGGACCTAGATTGTAAGCTCCTTGGGGAAGGGACTGATGTGAATGTACAATATAGACGTAAAGCTCTACATACATTGTCAACACTATATAAACACCTGTAATAAATAAATACAAATAAATATACCATACCTGGAAGATGCCCCTGGAAGCTGGAAATTACTGAAGTAGACTACTCCAGTGATCTCCACTAGCTTCCAGTCAGCCTGATGCATTCTGAGCACAGGAGGTTGGTCACTCAGTTTGGGCACCATTCAGAGAATGTATTGGATTCTGAATTAATGCAAAGCATTTGGATGAGGTGGAGGGGAGGGAGGGTGGTGATTAGGGAGATTTTCTTTTACGTCTTATCCAGTAGATACAACAGGAGGTGAGTGTATATGTCTCTAAAGTGAAAGAAATTACATTCTTATACAGTTGCCACAAGAACAAGGCCCCATTGGAAAACTTACCCTCACATTTTTCTGTATTTATTCCCCCCAGGTTCTGTTCTTCTGGTGACAACTTTAAAATATTATATCTTCCCTGTTTTGGTGACAAAGGGCATCAGGAGAAAAAAAGAGTGTGATTCTCCCGAGACCACAGAAAAGATTAGGAAAGTCTAACCCTTTCCCAATCTTTTAAAAAAACTAAAAAAAGGAAAAACTTAACTTTACTCTTTTGTAAATGGTTTAGTCGAGGGGCACTAAACCTTATAAACAAGGGACCAGTAAACTGTCTTTCAAACTTTAGAAGGACATGACTGTGGCCAGGAAGAGTAAACAATGCCCCAGGAACATTGGTCTTTGATATTTAAAAAATGACCATGTACCTGTTATCAGTAGGAGAGGGAATAATGCTCCATCATTGATGTTTGTTAAAGTAATGCCGCATCGCTGGTATCAGTGAAAGGAATAGTGCTCCATCATTGGTGTCAGTGGAAGTAATAGTATCTCATCACTGGTGTCAGTGGGAGAAATAGTACCTCGTCATACACGTCAGTGGGAGGATCTATGTCATATCATTGGTGTGAGTGGGAGGATTCATGTCCCATCATTGGTGTGAGTGGAAGGGAACCATGCCCCATCATTGCTGACAGTGAGAGAAATTGTGTCCATCATTGGTGTTAGGATGATTAGTACCACAAGGGCCAGTTGAATGCAAGAAAATGGCCAAGTTAAGCCCAACGGCTACAATTTGGGGATCACTGGTTTAGCTGCTCAAAATAAACCCTAACCACTCCAGGCACAATAGCTTTGTAGAAGTTATGAAAAATAAGACATAAATGGAAAAATGTGAAAATATAATTTGTTAGAACAAGGGAAAACGAACAAGGAGAAACAGAAACAATGCAGCAGAAATGCAGACAGGAAGTAAAGTAAGAAAAAAAAAATAGGAAAAATTATAGAGGACTAAAAAGCAAGCTATAATTGTTTTAGTACAGTTTATTTTGATGTTGTTTATTTAAGTTTTTAAACAGTTTTTTTCATTGCATTTTTTGAAAATCTTTATGGTTTTAAACTGTTTATTTTTTATTATATGGGTTAGCTAAAGAGACAACACAGCAGATGAACATTGGTGGGTCAGTTTGTCTGATTAAAGCATGCTGGCCATACACTAGTAAGAGTTTTGTTCAAAAATTTATGTTTAATTTTCTAATCATTACTGGGGTCAAACTGAAGTTTATTTTCAGTGATGAGAAAATTTGAAGGAGCAGGATGGAGACCTTTCTCAAACTGATTCTTAACACTGCATGTGGTTTTCGTTCAGTAAAGTCCATTTATTTCCAAAATCAAATGTTAAAAGGAAAGAAGATTTTGAAGTAATTTTGAACGACATTCATTGAATGTACTAAGAATTTTTGTTCAAAAATGTTCTAATGTATGGCCAGCTTTAGACTAAGCTGTCCGAAAAGGTATGAGTCACTACTGTGACTGCTGTCAGGTTGAATCACTAAAGTAGAAGACACCGGGGTTGATTTACTAAAGGCAAATAGATTGTGCACTTTGCAAATGCAGTTGCCCTCTGCAGTGAATTTTCTCCAGAGCTTTGTAAATGAGGAAAAACTCTACTGACTTCCATCATCAATCATATGCAAGCAAACATGCTGCTTTTTTATTGCATATGATTGGGTATTCTTTGCAAAATTTACTAAGCTCTGGAGCAGGCCCGGACTGGGACGAAAAATAGGCCCGGGCATTTTGGACTGAGCAGTCCCAAGCCCGAAGACCCTTTACTCGGAATCTGGTGGTGGAACGCCAGGGCTCGGTTGCAGGAGCGACCCTGGTAGTTTCACCACTAGTGTCAGTAGAATTTTATTTTATATTTTATTATCTTTTTACATTTTTTTGTAGGAGCCCCGTTGAAGAGAGAAAGAAAGAGAAGACAGAGAGAGGGAAGGAAGGAAATGAAGAGAGAAAGAGAAGGAAGGAAGGAAAGAAAGGACAGAGAGAGAGAGAGAAATAGAGAAATAGAGAAAGAAAGTAAAGAGGAAGGAAGGAAGGAAGGAAATGAAAAGATAAAGAAAGAGAAGACAGAGAGAGAGAGAAAGATAGACAGAAAGAGAGAGAAATAGAGAAAGAAGGAAGTGAGAGAGAGAGAGAGAGAGAAAGAAAGAAGAAGGGGGGAGGGAGAGAAGACTGCCAGGGAGTGTGGACAGGGCAGACACAGGAGGAGAGGGGGGGGATCAGGAGGGGCAGGACCAGCTTTCTCTCTCCTCTCCCATCTGTGGTGGGGGGGAGGGGAACTGTCAGCACTGGGGACAGTCTATTCTGACAGAACCCAGCAGCACTGCAGGAGATTCGGGGGTGGGGGGGTAGAGGGCGAGCCGCAGGGGGAGCATACAGGAGCTCAGGGCAGCAGGGGATGGATAGAAGGGGCAGCTGGATGGCACAAAGAGGAACCAAACCGAGCATTTTCTCTCCTGCTGCCACTGAAGGGAGTGAAAGGCCGCCCCTCCTATCCAAGCAGCCCCAGCCCACTGGGCAAATGCCTGGTGTGCCTTATGGCCAGTCCGGGCCTGCTCTGGAGCAAATTCCCTTGTATAGCGCAACTTCACCTGCAAAGTGCACTGCCTATTTTTCATTAGTAAATCAACCACACCAGGGGCGGACTGACCATTTGGAAACTTGGGCACTGCCCGAGAGCCCGGGGTCAGTAGGGGGCCCCATGAGATGCCCCTGGTACCTTTTTCATAGGCTTTTTTGAGTTTGGGCAAGGACACAGGGGCCTCATGATCCCCTACTGCCCGGGGGCACCATGAGTTGTCAGTCCGCCCCTGAACCATGCTGTTTACTTAGCAAAGCAAATGTTCAGCTTAGTAAACAAGACAAAGCTGTTTTCACTTTGAATATCCATACATGCAAAGGAAAAGTATATAAATATGCAATATTTAAAATTAACCTGACTAAAGAGGGTGGAGCTCCTCTTCACATCTGTTCAGAACCCCAGCACAAAAACCCCCTCTTAACTCCCTTAAAGGATTTCAGCCAAAAAACTTCCATCACTGGTCTTTGAATTCTCCACAGATTCATCAGTTATGATGCATGGTCAGTAGCAATTCTGAGTGAAATGGAAGGTCTCTGACCAGGACCTGACTCTGCTTTAGAGTCTTTATTAGTGTTGGTCTTTATTAGTGAGAATACAAAAAATAATTGCAATACAGTAGCTCTCCTCTGTTAACTCAGCTTTTGCCTGCTACAAAGGGAACATCAAGCTGGTAAGTGCTGATAAGATACATCCCTACCATTGGGCAATCACCCAAGATCAGGCACTCCAACCTGTTTCCCAGTGACTTTTTTTGGGAGCACTAGTAAGGCGATCATCTATATCTAACCATGTATAGTTGAAGAATTGTTTAATTAAGGGTGGATGATCTCAGGGGGATTAAAGCAATATACAGTATCATCATACAGTAATCACAATAAAAGGCATTGGGAGAAGATCAAAGCAACTGATCACAGAACCACACAAAGAATGTTTGGGAGATGTTTGGGCAAGTAAACTTGCTTTAGTTTACCTATTTGCATTGTCTGTGCTACATTCACTGGTGCTTAGTGCTGGTTCTCACCAGCTGTGGTGGGACTATGTTGGACAGCTATTCCAGCACAGTCCACCACATGGACAAGGCAAAATGCCTTGTCTCCTGTGTGCTTGGTTCACACATCTGCATTGTGATGTGTGGGTATGGTGCATTGAGAAACAGTACTACATGCAGTACATTTTTTCAGTGCAAGCAAAGTAATCCACTGCTTCCCACTGTGCGGTTGGCAATTGATCTTCATGAGATGTTTGTGTGACATTTCAAAAAAGTTTGTTTAAAAAGAAAAAGGAAATAGTATGATCTTAGCTGAGTGCTTCATCACTGCGTTGAGCTCAGTTTTTTTTTTTAAACGAAATTTGGTTCCTGCTGCTGTCAGTCAAATCCTATGAGCAGAAGGCAGGGCAAGTCGCATTGTATATGTCTATAGATGCACACAGCCTCAAAGTAGAGGTGGAGCAAACAGCGCTGGCGGAGGACCAAAAAAGAAGAGGTAAGGGACCACTGTATGCAATATCCTTGCACAGAGCAGGTTAGTATTAATTTTTATTTATTTTTTTATTTAGTTTAGTATTAGTTTTTTTTTTTAATTTTTAAAATGTGAGACTTTTACATCAGTTAAAAGTGTTAGCTGGAGGTTGCTTCAATATGTTAATCTGTTAGTCCATGTAATACTCTCCTCCCCCCAGATTAACAGTGCTGCTGTCCCAAGGTGTCTCTGTTGCTCCTTCATCCTCCAGAGTGTAGCCACTCTAATACAGGAAATGTGTTACTGGCCAGATCACCAGTTAAAAAAAGAGGTGAATACTAATGCAACCACCACATCTAATGATTGGTATGCTGCCATACATCATATGTTTGGTTTGGGGTTTAACTTCATTTTACCTCTTGCCTCTCTGAATCTGGTCTGTTGTGGCCTGCATAGGTATGCTTAGGGACTACAACCTGGGAAGTGTCCTGCAGCACAATCCATTAGTTGCTCTGGTAAAGACCAGGTGCTCCTTAGACTCTGTATGCCAAGCACACCATCATCAATTGTGCAGGCTGCACAGAGGATCCAAAAGCCTCTAGGCCAGTGATGGCGAACCTTTTTGAGCCCGAGTGCCCAAACTGCAACCCAAAACCAACTTATTTCTTTCAAAGTGCCAACACTGCAATGAAACCTGAATATCGAGCTTTTGGTTTAGAAAAAACAACTCGTACAGTAGTGCAAACTAATTAAGAGTACAGGGATGACCAGAGACTGCGGACAGTACAGGGATGACCAGAGACTGCGGACACAGTACAGGGATGACCAGAGACTGCAGACACAGTACAGGGATGACCAGAGACTGCGGACACAGTACAGGAGGATGACCAGAGACTGCGGACACAGTACAGGAGATGACCAGAGACTGCGGACACAGTACAGGATGACCAGAGACTGCGGACACAGTACAGAGATGACCAGAGAGAGACTGCGGACACAGTACAGGAGGAGATGACCAGAGACTGCGGACACGGTACAGGGTGACCAGAGACTGCGGACACAGTACAGAGATGACCAGAGACTGCGGACATAGTACAGGGATGACCAGAGACTGCAGACACAGTACAGGGATGACCAGAGACTGTGGACACAGTACAGGGATGACCAGAGACTGCGGACACAGTACAGGGATGACCAGAGACTGCAGACACAGTACAGGAGATGACCAGAGACTGCGGACATAGTACAGGGATGACCAGAGACTGCGGACACAGTACAGGGGAGATGACCAGAGACTGCGGACAGTACAGGGATGACCAGAGACTGCGGACAGTACAGGAGATGACCAGAGACTGCGGACAGTACAGGAGATGACCAGAGACTGCGGACAGCACAGGGATGACCAGAGACTGCGGAAAGCACAGGGATGACCAGAGACTGCGGACAGTACAGATGACTGCTGACCTTTGGGGAGGGAGGGGGAGCGGGTACCTGAATTTGACAGGTACCCGCTCTTACTTCCGCAGAGTTTTTTTTTTATCTTACCTGTTCCTTTATCCAGCCGCGCGCTGTCTTCCCGGCTTCTGTAGTGTGGGCGCTCGTCGGACAGCCGGATGCCCAGTGCGCATGCGCGAGAAGCGCTGCGCTTTGTGATTGGTCCGGCGGCTTCTGGGATTTGTCATGTGTCCCAGGTACCGCCTTACCAAAGAGCACTGCTTCTTGCGCATGCGCACTTGGGACCCGGCTGTCACGCACACTACAGAAGCCGGGAAGACAGCGCGCCGCTGGATAGAGGGACAGGTACGGTCCCACTGCAGAGCTGAGCGGCCGGCCCGGTATTCTGACACGGCGGCGGTGGAAATACCGGACCGGCCGCTCTATATTCGCTCCATAAGACGCACTGACATTTTCCCCCCTTTTTTGGGGGAAAAAAAGTGCGTCTTATGGAGCGAAAAAATACGGTATTCTCCTGGCGTGCCCACAGATAAGGCTCGGCGTGCCGGCGTGCCCACAGATAAGGCTCATTACACTGGACACTATATACGTGCATCAGAGAAGAGAAGAATGGAGAGACATAATTTAACCAAATCTTGGTGCCACTGGATACAGCCTGAGGCATAAATGGATTGCTCGAGAATTTTTGTTCATGCTATTCAGAGGTAAGAAAGAGAGGGATGCCAAGAGTGTACAACAATGGCACCAGCTGAACCAATGGCTGTTTTCAGCCAATAGTTTCTACAGAGTTACCACTGGCACAATGATTGTCACTAGATCTGCCCAAAATGACCAGACTGGGCAATACTCTTGTCATATTTACTATTTGCTACTTTAACCATGCTTCTGGAACCACTATCACTATTCTGCTGATGGAATAAATAGTCAGTGTATTTATCATTATACTTGTATGGTCAGGCTGCAATAACTGTTTTCCCTGACTTTCTCAAGGCAGCATACACATATGTTTGGCTTTGCCTCACTCTCCCATAGGACCTTATATCAATAAATAAATTGAATTCCCACTCAATTTGTCTTGTTCTCTTTACATCCTTGCTATATTGGACTGTGAAAGCAAGAAGAACAAACCCCTTACCTGTGCTATATGAAAATCCATTTCCCACAGGTTGCCTCACATGTGTAGAGTTCTCTGAGGGTCCATTGGACACTGTGAGGATCTCCTTGTGCTCAGGGAACAGTCCTCAACCCATATGTACTAAATGTCAGTCAAGGCAGCTGGTCAGTAATCTGTTTTAGCCCTCATGCGTTGTGTTTCCAGGTTTCAGGTCAGTGGACTGTTTAACCTATGCTGTTTTTTTAGGTTTTAGGGCAATGGGTTTGTTAGCCCATAAGTTTCAGGTTTTAGATATTGTGGATCATTTCCTGAGGGAAGAAAGAAAGCAGAGACTGTCTATATGTCCACGATTTTCAAAGTGGGACCTACCTTTGGTTTTGGGATATCTATCAGAACCTCCCTTTCATTACAAACAAATTTGAAAGTTATAGAATCTGACTCTTAAGAAAGCTTTCTTGGGCGCAATTACTTCTGGAACCTAAAGCTTTAGGATGCAGAGAATAGTTGGTGACCTTTTTCTGACAAAGTCCTCCTGGTACCTATGGTAAATTTCCTATCAAGAAGTCTCCCAAGATGTTCATTCAAACCAAGAACAGATGTTACCCATGTTCAAGGATGCAGAAATATAAATTTCTGTATATAGAAGAAATACTGTGAACCTACTTGGAAACAATGTCTGAATTTTGACTTTCAGATCAACTATTTATGATTTTCTATTGGAAGAATAAAAGGTAATAAGCCTCTATGAACTTAATTTCAGTTTTCTGTTTTACCAGAAGCTGGTATGGAGAAATTAGTTATTTTGGATCCCAATTCCACTGAAATAGGGAAAATGGAGAACTGGGAGCCCCCTCATGTGTTCATGTGGGGGTACAGAACTGCTGGTATTCTTTATTTTTCAACCTGGAATTTAAGGATGGAATGTTGACATAATTATATCAATTTCTCATCTGCTCAGGCATGTAATGCAATGTTGTAGCTTTTTCTTCATAATTTAACATGAACAATTCCAATATGAAATTACACAATTGCTGATTTTGCAAGTTTATAATAGTAGAGCAGCTGCACAGAAGCACACACATAAACTTTTCGAAATATGAGAGATCATTACCTCTGTGTTGACAGCATCACTTGGTTCAATGCCAGCATACTAAGAGAGATAAATGAATAGCCTGTTAACTTTTCGGGTTATCGTTTTATTTTATGGAACACACTACACTCAGTATTTCAAATTCATTTTTTTTTGGAGTTTAAACCCAAACAACCCAATCCATATAATAATATTAAAAACATAAAGCAGTAAAATCCTCCAAAATACTTAATCCATGATCCACTTATCTATTTAGTTAATGAAGCTTTGCTACTTGGGTAGTCAAACTAATATAGCTGGATTGACACTTATTACTGTAAAATATCAATTGTATATAAAAATGGTTGTAAACCTCATGAAATCTGAACAAAGCATATCTCTTTAAAGTGTTTTTTTGCCTCTCTCCACTAATGCCTGGTACACATGATGAGAAAATCTGAAAAAGAGTGATCGTTCCTATTTTTTAGCATTCTACTCTCATATCGAATACAAGAGTGCTACTAAGCATACGAAAATTTCTCGTACAATCCAGTATAACTTCCCCTGTGGATAGCAACATACCTGTGTGCAATCAGTAGTGATGTCAACATTTATAATGAAAAAAAAATATTTACAGGGTATATATCTTTATAAGAAGATCTGCAGATTAGAATCAACATTGCGTAGCAATAAGATTATCTTTCCATTATCTTTCCATTATTGCAATTAAAAATATTTCTGTCCTGAAAACAATGTTTTGTTCCAGAACATTTTCATTGTAAGCGAAGATTGTTTTCGTTGCCCTTTATCCTTTCGGGTTGTTTTCATCTCTCCAATCATGCGCGGTCTTGGTCACTCGATTTTTTTATGCAAGAATACTGTACTGATTAAAACGAAAATCGTACAAAAAACATTTTTTATGCTTGTCTCTTCAAATAATTTCACATGAACTGTTGTAATTGGCTCTTGAAAGCTGTGTACTAATGAATAGATTATCTAATGAATGCTCCAAATGCATTTTTTTTGTCTGATAATTTCATTGTGTGTACTAGTCATAAATGTAATTTCTGTCTGCTGTCTCATTTCTCTTGAGTCACTTTCCCTGACACCAAGGGAAAAAACGGTGATAGGGGAGGGATCTCCAGCACATAGCCTGTGATTGACAGCCTCAGCCCAGGAGGATGTCTCTTCCCTCAATCAGCTCTCAGGCCTTTTGTACAATGTGTAACTGCAGCTACTCACCCCCTGCTTTGTGAGTGTGAAAAATTATTTTTATCTCTGAGTTTTACAAGGATGTATAGAACAAATGGCTTCAAATAAACAGTTACAACTTATGTAGGAGGATTTGTTTCACCTCTGTGTATCACCTGAGGCTGGTCACTTCACTGGGTACAGGCAAGGGTTTGCAACCACTTTCAGCTGGCCACATACCCATAAAGATAGGACAGATTCCTCCATTCCAGGAGGGCTGGCTCTACCACTAGGCAAACTAGGCAGCCGCCTAGGGTGCAATGCTGCTTAGGTTTCAGCCACAGCCAGGGCAGCTGATAAGGCAGTACAGCTGGCCCTGCTCAAACATAAATTATATTTTCCCTGGGCCCCATTAGTTCACATGAGGGGCCCAGGAGACGAGGAGCAGAGAGGGACTCTTGTTTTAATTTCGAGCACAGGCAGCTGAAGCCGCTCCGCATTTTGCAACGCTGATCAGTGGCGGTCGGATGCGGCTGCTCACAGACTTTCACTGGCGGAGTGATTATTCCTTCCTCCTCTGAGAAGGGCAGAAGGTGAGGATGTAGCCCAGTGGCAGAAAGTGATTCAACAGAGAGATGGCCGAGGACACAGGCAGCAATGGGAACCCAGTGCACAGGCAAGCTAACAATTCCTGTTTTCTGAGGCACAGACAGAGATACAGCCATACGCTGTATAAAGACAGACATATGGCACCTTCTGTACTGTGTGATCATCATCATAATAATGCTTTCTAGGCTCCACACTTACAGCAGCGGACTTGGGACCTGCATGGTGAGTGCCACCGATAGAAGGGAGGGAGATCAGTGAACACCTGTTCAAATTATAGAAGAGGAGAAAGATACGGAAAACTCAGAAGACCAGGAGCAGCTCACAATTGCCAACTAAGGTAGAAATAGCAGAAATGTTCAAAGGACTTGAAAGACCAATAAAACAGGAAATAACAAAAATACATAGAGATCTGGGGCAAATATCGTCAAGGGTAGAAGAGACGGAAGGAAAAGTAAAAAGACATGCCCAAATTATACAGAAATCTGAAAAACAGTTAATAGACATGAGAAGAGAACATAGGACCCTGCTACTTAAACTGGAAGACCAGGAGAATAGAGAAAGAAGGCGCAATATAAGGATAAGAGGTTTACCAGAGCTTGCTCAAGGGGAAGATCTGAGGGGAACAATAGGGAAAGTGCGGAACAATAAAATGGACAGATCTACAACAGAGTTTATCAAAATGGACGGAGTATATAGAATTGGAAGAATTCAACAGGAAGGTAGACCGAGAGATGTAATTGCTCAATTTCACAATTATCAAGATAAAGAAAAGCTATGGAAAAAGATAAAAGGAAGAGTAAAAATTAGATATGGAGAAATAAATTTACAGATCTTTGCTGATCTAGCAGCAGAA